GGAGCTTCCCAATTTTTTTATATTTATTAAGGGATGTAGGCTTTACTGGCTGGACCAGCATGTAAAGCTCATCCTTAATTGCCCTTGAGGAATCTTAAGATTTTCCATACTGGAAGAGTTACTGGATTAAAGCAGAATCAGTAAAGTGCTGCAACCTACAGCATTAACACATTCAAAATTTCTTTAGTTGAAAGATGGGTCAGCTCAACCTTCAATAAGGACATGATAACCCTCACCTGGCAGATTTCCTTGCTGCCAGTCTGCCGCAGCAATCTAGCTATCAGAGATAATGAATCATCACACTGAATCATCTGCACCTTCATAGTAATAGAAAAGTCAAATCTCATCTGAGCGGGATCTGCCAAGCAAAACGCTTTTCACTGCAGACATGTTGTTCATTTTGGAAGGGAGAACAAAAGAACAGTATTATTTAACTGGAGAAAAGCTGCAATGCAGAGACTTGGGGTGTGTGCAAGAAACACAAAGCTAGCAACAGCTACAAGTAACTTGGAAGTCTAATAGAATGCTGGCCCTTATTTCAAGAGGGTTGGAGCATAAGTGTAGGGAAGTCTTCCTGCAACTGTACAAAAGTGTTGGCGAGTCCACATATGAAGGGCTTTGAGCAGTTTTGGTCCCATACTTACGGGAAAATATAGTTTCTTTGGAGACAGTTCAGAGAAGGCTCACTAGGATGATCCACTCTGTGGAGGAACTGCATTGAGAGTAAAAGGCTAAATAAGTTAGGACTCTGTATTGGAGTTTAGAAGAATGAGAGGTGATCTCATTGAAACACATAGGACTCTTAAATCGGCACAAGAGAAAATGTTGAGAGGATGTTTCTCCACGTGGAAGAGTCTAGGACCAAGGGTACAGTCTCAGAACAAAGGGGCACCAATTTAAGGCTGGGATAAGGAGAATTTCTCTGCGTGTTGAGTGTCTTTGGAATACCTTGCCACAGAAAGCTGTGGGGGCAGGGTCCTTGTGTATACTTAAGGCTGATATAGATGTATTCTTGACCAGTTGGGGAATAAAAGATCATGGGGAAAATGCAGGAAAGTGGACGTAAGGAATGTCAGACCAGCCATGATCCTACTGAATGATGGAACCGGCTAAAGGGGCTGAACAGCCTACTCTTGTTCCTATTGCTTATGGTCTTACGTCATTCATGCACTGCTTCGTTTTCCCATACCATACCTATCATAAGTTACGTCACTCACCGTTGTTTCCAATCCCAAACGTGGCTTTAACCATTCCTTTACCCCATTCAAATCCAGATTAACTCCAATCAAGCCCAGTTTCCCACGACGTTTAATCAGCTGATCTGGCTTCACCACCAAACGCTAAACAACAGAAAGAAACATGAAAGGTTAATACAATGAAATCAAAATAGCCTCTTCCTTTCGTTCAAACTCTTCCAACCCCTGGCAACATCCTTGAAAAAGTGTTCAGAAAAGATTTACAAGTTCCACAACATCCTTCCTAGGACAGGGAGACCAAAGATAAAAGTTAGGGTGTTGCCTATCTCCTTAATATATTTGAAAGGGGTTGGGTCTGATACATAACAGATATACAAGGACTACATTTCAAGAATACTTCATGAGCTGTAACGTGCTTCAGGATATCCCGTGATCACAAAGCACAATTCAATTATTTTAAAAACATTCAAACAGATTTGAATTTGTAAGGAAGAGTACCCCAATCTATTCAGAAAGGCCTCAACTGGAGTAGAACCCATTTAAAGTAAAGAAATCATCTGTTACTACATGTGAAGGAGGCCACAAGAAATTTAAAAGTTAAAACAGAACTTTGCAAAACTTTGATTCAAGCATTTTACAGGTAAATCATATGTTGGCACAAAATGTTAGCACTAACTTACTACACAAAACCCAACAAGAGCTGCATCCACTGCAAGTCTCTTTTGGGCTCCCTTCCACGCCAGCAAAATCTGATTTTTTTTACATCAGAATCTAAGCATCTTGCTGCTTGGTTAGTTGGATAAAAGCCCAGGTCCTTTAGATTCCAACTTGTGGAACTTGATGTAGAAAACTAACTTTGAGAAGGTTTCTACAAAAAAAAATGCCAACATATATTGAATGATGCTTTCAGAGTACAATAAGAAAGATGATATAATATGATGTTTCTGCCAAATTCGTCATTTGGGGAACCACTAAATCATTAAAGCCAATTTTATAAAGAGATTTATGCAAAATGATGTTACTGGTTGCACTGAGTTTAAAGGAAAATTTAATTAGTCTACCGCTGATGTCCAAATCTCCAGCTGGCTAGTGCATGATGCAAAACTTGAAACTGTTAGAAGTTTTTGTCAGTCACTGTTGCTGACAGTACTCAAATTAAATATGCAGTGGTCATTGAGCTACAAATTTAAGATCACAATAGACCATGGTTTCTGGACACTCAGTGGTGTTTTAGATTAGATTAGATTTTATTGTCACGTGTACTCAAATACTAAATTACAGGAGTACTGTGAAAATTGTATAACGCTGCCAAAGAAACAGTCTGTGTGAATTGAAATATGAGGTGAAGGAGTGAAGGATACTATGTGTGAACGCTCAGTGGCTGTGTGACATTCTCAAGAACTTTGTGTTGCAACAGATTCAACATAGTCATTACCGTGTCCAACCTGCAGGACCCTCTAGCACCCAATCCACAACTGGTTTCAAGTCTTTTAGGTATTGTATATGAACTTTCAGGTGCCAAATTCATATTTTTTTTGTGACAGCAAATAGTTAAAAGGTGATAAGTCTGTCTAGATTCCTCAGCTAAGTTAAAATCATTATTTTTCTACTTAATACTAAGAATTACTGTAATGTTTAACTTTGTACATTCTTTCTACCTTGTTCTTATGATTCTGTATCTACGTACTTGTACCCAATCTGCAGCTCAATGTGCAGAATGGCTTTCCACACAGAGCACTCCTACATCCACAGATTTTCTGGCCTCAGTCCTGCAGTCACAGAAGGAAGAGGCAGTGAACCAGACCAATACTAAACAAGCTTAAGGGTGACTGCGTGAGTCGAAAAGTTAAAGAAAACTGATGTGATCAGCATATTCATTTAATACCTGGAACCCAGAAGAAAGGATCTCAGTGCACACTACACAGATGAAAAGAATCCAAGTAAGCACGCATGAAGAAATGGAAGTGTTCATACCCATATTAAAACTAACTACAATCCAATCTAAATACTACTTCTCCAGTGCAGCTTCTCCACCACCCTCTTTTTGACGTAGCTCCATGTCTGTCATAGAGATCAGTCTTTTGAAGTGAAAAAAAGTAGATAACATACTATGCTACCGGATTCCCAGGCACTCTTCTAAAGCCTAATTATCTTGCAGGTTGTGAAGCTTTTGGTGCAGGTGGAGTGTCAAGCCCTATGTTTAATAAGTCTATTACTAAACATATAGAAATCAATGGGTTACTGTTCTAATATCAAGGATCATGAGACTACATCAGATCCAAGTAAAGTAGCTGCAACTTGCATGGGCTTGCTATTGGTTCTCCAAAACTTAAACTCCTTCAAAATTAATTGCTTTCAGAAATAAAGGTTTTCAAGTATTCACAGTTCCACTATGCCAGATTCTCACCTGATATTTGCCAAAATGAGTATTCCCTATTTTGTTAGACTGTTAAACCATGAGACACAAAGCTGAGGTTCATGCTGTTCTTTAATAATGTGAAATTAAATTCAATAAATCAGGCTGTTTGCAAACTAAAAATGAGAAAAGTAAAATCTGACTGCTTTTAACACTGCTTTCCACACTGTAGGGATTCTATGATGATTCTATCATTCTATGATCCTTGACATGACTTTCAGAAAACAGAACTGCCATCCCTTGTTTTCACTTAATGTTTGGTTCCTATTGTCTCCCTGAAATGACTGAGTAAAGTGGAGGCTTTCCCAGAGGCAAGTACAAATAAGGAATAAAGTGAGCATGTCAGCATTTTCCTTGTCCTGAGGAAGCACAAAGTGCAGAAATAACTGGCTATTCAGGAAGTGCAGCATCCTTGACCATCTCTTACTTCTCCCCAAGCACAAGGAGGCTAAGACTATTTTAAACACCGCAATAGCGTTTTACCAGACTTCAAGTTCAGTGTGGAAGAGGGAGCAAACACGGGATGGTCCTGGTCTTGTGATTTGGCACTATCACGGTAGCTTGCACGTTATATATTCAGTAATGCTACCCATGTGGGAGTGAGCAAGCATTTTGCTCAAGATCTTCATCTGAGCAAGTCATGCCTGTGCCAGAAACACCTGTTTTTAATGATATACCAGGAGGGTTGCAGCAAATATGGAAACACAGGAAACCTAGAAGAACTGTCTTCACTTATTCTCTACACAGGAGAACTTCTGTTTTGAAGAAATTTTAAAAAATTCTAAATCTTACGTTGTTCTTTGAGACACATCACTATCAATACATAGAGACTTACCTCTGTCAGAAGCCAAGGATGCTCTTGGACTAGGAGGTCCCAGTCAGTGTCAGGTCTCAATCTGGCATATCTGAACTTGTTCTGGACTGCACCCTTCGTGGAGATATACTTGTAAAGAAATTCTTTACCCGTCTGCTCAGATATGGCTTTAGCGGACATGGCTGGTCAGTTCTTTACTGTAAAAAAATTCAAAGCAAAATCAATCTTAAAGAGAGACAGTGACCCATGCAGAGCAACTAAAGTCCTGCTCTTTACAATAGGTCATGAAAGCATAGGTGACCACAGTTTAGGACAGCATGAATTATGTTAGATCAGTAGAACATATTGTGGACACAGATTCTGTGATTTTACTGTTCGCATCCTCAAGTCCTTTCAACAGGTTCATCCTAAGCATAACTGATTTGCACACTCAAGAAGATAGGATGAAAGCAGAAAAGGTCTATTTGATTCGAGACAGAATCTGTGGTAGTGGCATTATAGTGAATACTACACACTAAGGACTCAATGCCCATGATCACTTTCTTGCAAGTTCCACTTTAATTGCTGAATCAGAATGCCTTTAGGTCAAAAACTTAAACACAAGATGGTCAACCAGATATGCTTACAGTCCAGTTACAGTACCACCAAAATTACCACACAACTTAAAGTGCAATCTATCTACAAACCACTGTTGCAACTGCTGCACAATGTTTGCTGGATTTTAGAAGTGGTGGTTGCGGGGGGGGGGGCGGGTGGTGGTGGTGGTGAAGTGGTAAAGTAGATGTCAAGACCCAGAGGGTTGTTAATCTATGGAATTCCTTGCCCAGTGAAGTAGTTGACGCTACTTCAGTAAACGTTTTTAAAAAAAGGTAGATTTTTTTTGAACAATAAAGGAATTAAGGGATACGGTGAGAACGCGGGTAAGTGGATCCGAGTCCACGAAAAGATCAGCCATGATCTTATTGAATGGCGGAGCAGGCTCGAAGGGCCAGACGGCCTACTCCTGCTCCTAGTTCTTATAAGACATTAAGATTCAAAGTGCAAACTTCATCACTTCAACATTAAACCAGAAATGCAGCTTGTTCAAGCAAAGTTAGCCAATTGCTGCAGTACGATTCACATTTTGGTCTTGGGATCACACAGTGCAATCAACATTGATGCCAATGGATTTATAAATCATTGTTGTGCAATACTCAATTTATTCCTTTCAGATTGGAAGGAGGGTTTGAGGAAAGGTCACTGGACCTGAAACATTAACTCTGCTTTCTGCACACAGATGCTGTCAGACCTGCTTAGTTTTCCCTGCAATTTCTGCTTTTGTTTCTGATTTCCAGGATCTGCAGTTCTTTGGATTTGTGTGTGGGAGATGATAGGATTGTGGCTATGGCACTGGACTTGTGATCCAGAAGCCCAGGCTAATGCTATGGGTGCATGGATTTAACTCCCATCTTGGCAACTGGGAGAATTTAAATTCAATAAATAAAACCTAGATTTAAAACTCTCAGTAAAGAGGACCTGAGACTATCAATTTGGTTCATTCATGCCCTTGCAATCCTTTCCCGGTCTGGCCTATACAACTCCAGACCTATACCGATGTAGTATAATCTTAACTGCTCTTTAAATAGCCTATCAATTCACAGTTGAAGGGCAATTAGGGAAGGGCAATAAGGCTTACCTAGGCAGTGATGCCCACACCCCATGCACAGATGTATATAAAAAAAAAATCCAGAAACCAACTTGTAGCCCCCATCACTTCATTTTAATATCACCCTGCAAAATTATCAGTGTTGTAAACGGAATTAAATTGAGCAGACGACATAGTCCTCCACATTCAACAGGTACAGGCTTCAAGCTTCCCTTTAGACAGTCCCAGTGAACGCGGGCAGTGCTCGGACCCAATTTTAGGTTGGTCTCTAGCGGGATACATGCGTCGAGTCAATACGGATAACTGCCATGACTTTTCCATTTCAATTCAATTAAATTACATCTCCCTCTGCTAATTAAAGGGAGTGAACATTTAAGTAGCTAAACTGGGCATTAATAACCAAAGCACTCAGTGGCACTAAGCAATGGGCGGATAGCCAGTAGAGAAAGAAAATAATATTTGCTGTCACAAGAGACTGACATATTGCATAATACACACTACACAACCCGTTAATTGATCACAAACATGCTTTGGTAACCTTGGAGCAGAGGCAAAGGCAGCTTAAACTAAGTCAGAGCCAGACAGCCAAAATAAACTTAGACTAAAATCGGAGTTAACCAAAGTAAACAATTTAAAACCAGAGTTAAGCTTATTCTATCAAGTTAATATAAAGACTGTTCAATCAACACATCACACTGCTGCTGGATCACAGGTAGCTACCGAGCTTTAAAACTTGAACTCTAAACATGGATAATGCAATATAAAGCATTTTCCCAAAGAATTCACCTCAAATAAGTTCACCATGAAAAGTATTTTAAGACGTTTCCAAGAGGTACTTTTGATATTAAAATATATATTAATTATATTTGACTGTCAAAAACTTAAACCACAACCTGAACTGTAGACTTTTAAAAACAAGTATTTTGAAGAAATCAATTGTTAAACAGGGATGTAGCAACGTTAGTAGCTTGCACCAAACTGGCAAAAAAAAAATCACACAAACATTCAATAAATTTTTTAACCCAAAGCGAGAGAGATAAATGTTGCACTGCACTGTGTGCCTGTCCTTGTAGTATCAATATTATATAGCTGGGAGCATGCAGCTATAACTGTTAACCTTGAAAATATAAGGAGAATGACACTCTCCTCTTCCAAGCAGCTGATACTAAGTTATTCTCCTGGTCTGCTCAAATTATCAGTCAAGTTACTGAAACCACAATCATCCACAGTATCACTTCAAACAGCAACAGTTGTGTTAAATACTTGGAGATTGAAGGAAAATAAATGCAGGTCAAAGGAATAAGGCAGCAGAGAGTTCATCTAAAATCTAGAAAATGGTTTAGCATTTTGCATAAAAGGACTAACAACACCAAGTAGCACATACCCGATGACAGCTGGCAAACAAAATCAGTCAAAATCAAAAGGCCAAGACATTCAGTCACCATTTTAAAACCGAAGTTTTGATTTTACAGGTTAAAAAAAAGCACTTACACCATTTGGAGCAAAGAAAGAATGGATTGCTGTACAGAATTCTTCTTCGGTACTAATCAACAATTTGAGGTAGTACAGCATCGCTGTGGAAAAGGGAGGGGAGATTGTATTTACAGCAAAGGGGCGGGGCTCATGCTAGCAAATGAGAGTTTCCATTGCAGGCACTTGGTGTTAATATTCAGCAATGCCAGGTCAGGCACAGCAGAGTAGGTCTCCTTCAATATTACCAGTAAGCTCAGCCCCTTTCTGATAAGATCACTTGATTTTTTTTTCTGGCTTTCCCTCTTTATTTCAGGCACTCCTTTTCAGTGATGTAGGGTTAGATTTATAAGATGTTTAGAGTAGATTTGTAGCTCGGGTTGTGGATGTTGTGGTTAGTTGGCTAGCCGTTCTGCACATGTTTCATTACCCTGCTGGATAACATCAGTGCAGCCTCCGATGAAGCACTGTTGTGTTTTCCCTCCTGGTATTTAAACTCTGGGGTCCGTTAAGCTGGGTTAACTCACTTCCTGTTTTCCTTCTCAACACAGTGTATATGGGGTCTAGCTCTAAGCTAGATTTATGCTGCAAGAACTGATGAAGTCTGCTCAAACCCATTTCACACAGTAACAGAGGACATTCCCACTCTGACTTTGGCACAAGCCAGAGGTGAAGCAGCCCTTATTAAGCCACTGTGACACCCAGAGCCAGTTACCATTATCCTCCAGTTAAGGTTACTAACAGAGGTTAACTGATGCATTAGATTGGCCGATATTAGTAAATGGCATTGACCAAAGATGGAATCGTCCAGCTATGGCTGACCCTTACCTAATGGAGCTATCAAAACAGCTCTACAGATCTTCACTCACCTTGCTATTACTCCTATCAAGAGGAGAATTAGTAATATTTGAATAAAAGTGAACATAAACAAAACTGCACAAGATCCTAGTTTCAATGATTCTTAAAACAAATATGAAATTGTCCTTTGATCAGTCTATTAATAGGACCTGTCAAGTTACATCTTTCCCCTCACCTTCTAGCCAATATCATCTAATACATGTTTCATGTGGAGCATATGCTTGCTTTTACTAATTCCTACATGTCAATTATGCAAAGAATGCTCCAGGCAAAGGAAATGGACTAAACAGGAAGCACCTGAACCCTTCATAATCAAACGATCTTGATGTAATTTTAAAATCATAATGCTATAGTTACACCCTGGGCCACCTAAGACATTGTTCAGTCCTTCAGTGAATTACTAGGTACAGCAAAACAAAACCAAAAGTAGACTCCAACTTTGAAAGACTAACATGAAGGAGTATTACAAAAGGTGACTGACATTTGTGCAACTCCACTAGCCTATGTCAGACTGGAAGAAAATAATGCAATAGGAAATGTGATTTTAAAAAAAAAAGCAAAAATGAAACTAAACTTGTGGTATTTCACAAGGTGAAGGGGATGAGGGCTGGCGTAAAAAGGAAACGCAAAATTCTTAATTGTTCAGGGGTTTCTAAAGAGCCAGAATATTGTACCTGTAATAATCCCACTGTTAAAAGCACATTGGATGTTAGTTGTAGACTTCAGCGCAGATTCAAAGGAGGCAGACAGAATTAGGAGCCAGAATAGACGATGTTCATCTGTAGCTATTTGCTCTTTCCAAGGCCAATATGTGCCTTAAAGTGTGGTCCAATGATGACTGAAGCATGGCTTTTACTTCTTGTATTCAAGTAGATATGAAAGTCAGCACACCTTTTGCCTTTTTGGTTATGTCCTGTACTTCCAGAACATTTTAAAGATTACAAATCTGGCCAGCACAGCCACTCAAGTGCTTTTGGATCTATTTTTAGCTTTTCACCATTTAAAAATAACTCCATTCAAAGTGAAAGATCTCACATTTGCCAACACATTCATTTGCCACAGTTTTGCCCATTTGCTCAATGTATAAATCCTTCTATTTAACATTTCCATCTGAGTTCTGAAGGAGTCACACCAAACTCTAAAAGTTAATCTGTTTCTCTCTCCACAGATGCAGCCAGGCCTGAGTTCTCTGGCATTTTCTGTGTTTGTATGTAGGAAACATGC